ATTGATAATAAAGTATTTCTTAACATCCAATTCAACAAAATAAATGTAAGTCATTTAGCTTTGGAAATGGGCAAATAATGTTTGGGAAAAGAGTATGCAGCTAGTTATGGGATTCCAAAATTCTGGAAGAGGGATATGAACAATGTCTGTATGTTTCAATAAACATACAGTAAGTGTGACTAGATATTACAATATTCTATACAGTCCAGTATAAAAGTATAAACGCAGGGTGTGCCGGTCCTGGTGAGTATGTCCTGAAAACATTTCCAGGTATGCAATAACAGAAGATATATTTTTTTATTAAAGAACAAAGAATATGAGAACATTAATTCCGTATTGTGTAACAATCTTTAATCAAGCACGGGGCCTCTTTAAGGATCTTTCTCATGCTTTTATACACAAACCACAGGTGTTATGAGTTATTTATTATTCCAAGAATGAAACTTGCTCCTTCGCAAATTCGCATTGTTTTCGATTTGGCCATCTACTCTATCCCTCAAAGGCAGAGTGTAAGGTCTTTGTAAGAGTCACTTACTTATCAAAAGCAGCAATGTATTATTAATGATTGCTATGGATGAGTACCTGAGCCCTGAGTGGATCGTGGTAAATGAAATCATCCATCTTCCAATCCCCTATGGATAAAATGTTTATTTAGTAATAGTAGGTCATATTACATCAACTTCCTTCTCACAAGTTGATCTGTAATTCTAATCGATTTAGACCTGACAGCTTAATTCTAAGCAGCACCACAAACATACACACTGATTTTATTAACAGGTCCACAATTATCGATACTAGTGTTGTAACTCTATACAAAAGGCTCACACGTATGTGCAAGTGCATTCGTATTGTCAGTCTGTGACTGACGTACTTTAGTGTATGGCCAGTATATACTGTGATCTGGTGTCATTCACTAAGATATAAGAAATAAGAATATCTAGTAAAAAGAGCTTAAAGAGACATTCCAAACACCACAACCACTTCAGTTATATGTTTAGATCCTCTCCCTGCATTCATTCCTTATGTTATGTATATAGTAATACATGATTGGCTGGTCAATATGTTCCCCATATCGCTTTCTTGTTTTCTGGACATGTTTTTGTGTAGTATGACTTTGCATGTTATGGCTACACTGATCAAAGCAGCCTTTTCTTCTTGTAGGCACTGTGCATGGGCCTCGCAAGTAAGATTGCCACACTAACTGGGCACATAGTCCTCTCCCTATTCTCCACCGGGTGAAGGCTTAGATTGGTCATCTCTGGATGGCCGCACATTCATGTTTTGAATGTTTCAGCAATGCTTCTTTATGAGAAACATATGATTAGCTAATCCGAGATGGCAAAACCATGAGTATTGTGTCAGGGAGAAACAAGGGAGGAACTTCGGTAGCTGCTGAAGCCACTTCTGTGGTTTGGGGAGGGTACGTTTTGTAGCATTTCCTTTTTTTTTTGTAACCCATTTTTAATAAATCATTCATTTCAAAATATATTTCTGTAATAACATAGAAATTTTCACCATAAAGTGTAATTTTAATTCAACGGAAACTTTAAAAATATTTTTATTTCTCACATAACATATTTAACCCTTCTCTTTTCCACGCACATAACAGTAATGTTTAGCCCTACCTTTTGTTGCCTGTTCCTGTAACATATGGTAGATGTTTAAGTAGATGTACTTATGTGTAACAACATTCCATTTCCCTATTGAATCTATATCATCCATGGACCGGGCTGCTAACTTCATTCTTCTGGAGTTTATCATCAAAGACTTCTCATTGGGGAGCATATCGCTTGTGTTACCTAACATAGAATGAAATAATTTTCTATCTACCAACCTTAAGGTACATATTGCATTATCGCATTCCACTTTATTCCCAAAGATTGGTGGGTCATCATGGGATAGACCTAATGCAAACAGCCTCACTATCTCGAACATCCCTCTATAAATGCAATTTTTTGTTTTAATCTTATTTTCTCTTTGACTTATATATTTTTTAAAGACATTTCAGGAATGAATAACTGAAAATAACGGCTTTTAAAGGGTTCCACAATTCTTTGTGTTCTGTATCATAATCACCTGCTTTTATTTTTGAAAAGAAAAAAAAGGAATGATATAAGTCACATGGGGGCACATCCATATGTTTCCCTTCCATTCATTATGTTGTGTATATATTGAGCAGGTTCCGATGCTATCACAAGCTGGTAATAAATCACTTTTGTTATCAAACTGCTTGTAAAAACTGTTGTGTTCTCAGAGAGACTGTTTATGGCAATTACATTGCTTTTACCTAATGAAGGTTTCAGAATCTAAAAGTAAACAAAAGTAATTTATAGATACCCAAGACAGTCAGCAAAATTATCCTTTTTGAACCATGTCGTATGCTTTTCTATTAACGACTTGCTATTTTATAATTAGCAAATAAAATGTCTTTTTGGCTTTCTTTGAAGAAATACTGAAAATACAATACATATTTTCATATATAAAAAAGATAAACAAGTCATTACTGATCTTACAATTAAATATCTACCTGATTTGCATTTAAATAACTGGTATAGGAAGAAAGTAGGTAACGTCAAGACATGCAAGTGAATAATTTTTTCTTTTTTTTTCTTTTTATAATTTTTATTGCGACAAAGAAAAGGTACAATAGTATATTAATCAATATATACATTAGAAACGTATACCAAACTTTGTATGGGATTTTATCCCAAAACGTATATATTCAGACTCTATATGCTCAAAACATATTCACATTTTGTATATCATGAGTATGCCATTATTCAATATACATTGTACCAACTTTTCGATATAAACAAATACAAATATAAATAACTGGGAAAAAGGACAGAATATTCTAATATTTTAACCAAAGTAGGCCTCTTAAGCATTTTCATATATTTACATCACTCTATATCAATCATATTGTTGCCTCATATGCAGTAGAGTATGAGGCAATACTCAGTTAACCTAGGGAACGTTCTATATTTGTTGATCTCTCTATCCCCCTTTCCTTAGATCTATAGTATACCCATGGTCGACATAAAACAGTAAATTTGTGATATTTATTAGAGGAACATGCGGATAGTTCTCCCATATTCTTTATATTCTCTACTCTATTTATCCATTCAGCCAGTGTAGGGGTATGAATTGTTTTCCAATACAAAGATATTCATGTTTTAGCTGCTAATAGTAGAATTGGCAAACATGTCTTTCGTAATTTGTTAAGTGGTATAGTGGTAGGTATGAGGTGATGGGTAAACCGGAGACCATACGTATCAAAGGTAATACCATCTCCCAGAAAGTTTGCATCAGGGGACAATGCCACCAGATATGCAGAAGCGTGCCAATATCTACTCCACACCTCCAGCAGTGTTCAGTTTTGCCGGTGTGTGATACCAACGAGTATGAAGTTTATATCCTGTCTCTTGGTGCCTAGAGCATGCCGTTAAGGAGTGAGTTAATATAAATAATTGTTTTGGTTGGATAAGCTGAATGGCTAGGTCACAAGAGGCTGCCTGTAAAAGGACCAGGTTCGGAACACTATAGACTTTATTTCCCATAGTTTCCATCACCTGCCTCTTGCTTGAAAAGTGCTGGAGTATATATTATATCTGATGGTGACCTTGTCACAGCAGATGCTTGTGAATTATGATGCTAAAATGAAATTGAAGAGACTGGGTAATATAGTTCACAAATATCTGCTGTGATAAAGTCAACCATTATTGGAAAAGTTTACCTACAAAAAATGGTAATGTTGTTAAAATGAACGTCACGTAAACAATACTTTAATTTTAGATGTAGACCCATTTTTGTTAAATAAACTTTCTCTGGTCAAAAAAGCCACATAACAGACTTCAAAAGACCTTTGTATTGTATTTGCTTGCTTGGCAACCTGTTGTTGTTACTTTAAGTCATGGTCCCTTGCACACGAGTCAAAGGGCAACAGCAAAATATATGTTAACTTAATTTCACCTGGAAAAGTCTGTGACTCCCTAAGTGACCTAGGCTGAATGCATTCTAGAAATTAAATAGCTCTCCTAGTGTCATGTAAATATGTGTCATTAAAGCTCTGGCCTCACTCCGGGTATAGTTTCATAGCTCACGAAAATGATCCCACAGCAAAACACACATTATCGGGCAAAGAAAATATATGGAAATCAATTCTAGCAGCTTCTTGTATAGAGTATTAGAAGAGCGTAAAATACAAAAAAATGTTTTATATAAATATATATTTATATATTTATAGTATTTTAATTTAACATTATTATTTTACAAAACATTAAGCAGAGAAGGAAATGTTTTCTTTTCTTAATGTAATGTTATTCGACGATTGCTTTGAACCGTTCAATATTTGAGATCTTGAAATTCTCTGCTACATATAACGGGAGCGTAGTAATGGTACAAGTATTGGAAGATTTCTGCTTTGCAGACCTATAGGGACCCATCATTTCTGAATACTTTAACAGCTGATACGACAAAGACGTCCATTACCTAAATGGGCAGCACTCTCTATTGATCAGAGCACCACTTAGCAATCCCATTTGTCATCATATAGTCTGTTCGAGCATCTTTTTGCTGGTTGAACGGGGGAGGGGACTGAATCAGGTGTTGCTGGTGGTCACTGTACATGATAAATACAAGTAGGAATCATGTAATGGGCTGAAAGCTTGTCTTTGTAGGATATACTGCCCAGAAAAGATCCTTTTAGCAAATTCTGAAATTAACAAATATTTTGTAGATTTGAAGGAGCTGAAGAAATTGACTGTTTGTTTTTGTATGCTAAAGTATATTTTAATATACGTTTTTACGTGGTCATAATAGATAGAACAATGTATAATTCATCTTTTACAACAATTATATTTTCTTGTTTTTGTTTTTTAGCTGTATGGTTATTTGTAGTGATGTCCCGAACTGTTCGCCGAACGGTTCGCGAACTGTTCACCACGGTTCGCCACAAACGGTTCGCGCGGACTCCAGTCAGCTGACACATTCCAGCCAATCAGCTGACACATTCCAGCCAATCAGACCCTCCCTCCCAGACCCTCCCACCTCCTGGACAGCTCACTAAGAATGCAGCTTCAAAATGGATGCTGTCCAGGAGGTAGAAGGGTCTGGGAGGGAGGGTCTGCTGCTGATTGGCTGGAATGTGTCAGCTGACTGGAGTCCGTGGCGAACCGTTCGTGGCGAACCGTGGCGAACAGTTCGGGACATCACTAGTTATTGATATTTAATATTTTTAGATTCCAATGTAAGAATTATTCACAAAACTGAGAATTTTAGAAGAATTTCAATAGAATTGTAAATTTGGGGCCAAAACAGCAAAATTGGAAAACATAGTTTAGATGGAGATGTTTTGGTTTAAAAGTGTAAATTTCTTTGCAGTTCTATGCAGATGATAATTTTAGCAAATAACTCTTGACAGTCTTAAATTAAATTTGTCTTTTGCTTAACCACAGTATAGCAAAAAAACAAAACAAAAAAAAACATTCAATTATGGTCAGATTTAATATTTTTCGATAAGCTTTTCACACGATTTATTATTTTTGGATATACTTTTAGAATGACTTAGTATTGTATTAAAAATATGTAAATATTGTAATAATTATTTATATTGTTTTCATTTATGATTATTTTTATATATATTTTAATATTCTGACCATCCAAAAATATGAAATCAATTGAAAAGCTTATCCAAGAATAATAAATGAATCTCTATGTTTTTAAATTTTTTAATGCATTAGCATTTTTGGAAGTCATAACAACTTATATGCCTATACAATTCCTCGTACTAAGAAAATAGCCGGATATTTCGCTACCAGGATCTCTTCTCCTGTTTAGCCTGGCTGCTTATTTGATCTTTAATAGTTTTGTAACATGTTTATAATTTTTGGAGTAAACAGGATATAGGAGATAGAAAAATAATTTAAAGATAGCTTTTTTGTTTTTAAATAACACCTTTAAAGGTTCTCTCCACTCACAATAAAGAATACAGCGCATTGTAGTGATTATGGTGCTCAGAGGTTGCAGGCTGCGTCCTTATGGTTCTGCGTGAAACTGTTCTGGAACAGTTTGACTCAAACCAGTAATACCCGAAGCACCTGTGGCCCAGTTCCTTGCTTGCTGTCTTTCTTCTATGGAAGCTACATTGAAAAATTATTTTGTCAGCCTGGGGTATATGAATTCCTTAAACTAAACTTGACCAAAACTGAAATTCTGGTCTTTTCTCCCTCAAGTGTTGTTACTCCTGTGTCTGTCTCCCTCCAAGTCAATGCTGCTACCATCAGCTCCACCATGCAGGCTCGCTGCCTAGGTGTTCTCTTTGACTCCGACCTCTCCTTCAAGCCTCATGTTCAATCTATCGCCAAATCCTGTCATTTCCATCTCAAAAACATTGCGTGCATCCGCCCCTACTTAACGCCAGATGCGACTAAGGTGTTGGTCCATTCCACTGTTCTTTCTCACCTTGACTACTGTAATCCGCTTCTCAGTGGTCTTACGTGCTCCCAACTAGCGCCGTTACAGTCCATAATGAATGCGGCGGCGAGGCTCATCTTCCTGTCCGCCCGCACCTCCCATGCTTCACCCTTCTGTCAGTCCTTACATTGGCTTCCTATAAAATATAGAGCTCAATTTAATATTCTGGTTCTTGCTTTCAAATCTCTACATAATGCTGCTCCCACCTATCTATCCTCCCTTATACACAAGTATGTCCCGTCTAGGCCCTTACGATCTGCTGAAGACTTACGTCTATCTTCTGTCCGTACTCCCACCTCTGATGCTTGCCTTTAAGATTTCTCGAGGGCTGCACCGTTCCTGTGGAACTCACTTCCCTCCTCTGTTAGATGCTCACCCAGTCTCCACTCCTTCAAAAAATCGTTAAAAACCCACTTCTTCATAAAAGCGTATCAATTCAACTGTTAATAGCTCCTGACTGATTCCTCTTCTGCAACTGTCACTAGTCTAATACTATCCTTACCGTTTTGTGTCATTTTACCCCATTCCCTCTAGCATGTAAGCTCATTGGCCCTCAACTCCTCTGTTCCTGTGTGTCCAACTTGTCTGGTTACAACTACATGTCTGTTCGTCCACCCATTGTAAAGCGCTGCAGAATTTGACGGCGCTCTATAAATATCATAATAATAATAATAATAATTCAAGGCAGCCCATGCATTGAATACTGTTTAAGTACTCTTATATGAGCAAGATATTCTAAATTCTGTTTGTACAGTTCAAACACACCTACTGATTCCCTTGTGCTGAGCTATTTGAGTCTTGTCACTGGTGTCCCTAGAGATCAAATGCAGGAGAGATCCTACATATCAGAACTATTCTGCCAAATTCAAGACTATTGGGAGGTGTGACCTAAGATTTTGTTCCAAAACCCTGAACTTGTACATGAAAGAAAAATAAAATGAAATTTATATCTCTCTAAATCACTGACCTTTATGGTGTTTCCTTATGTTTAATAGTAAATAACTAGGGTTTTAATTAGCTTAGTTAAAGCATGTTGACAGACACAGAGTAAATACAAGTGAATGCTTAAACAGTAAATTAATAAAACCACCGTGGTCTGAACAACTAATTTTGTATAGGTGCCAAAAGCATTTGGATTTGTTTGGAGGTGAGATCTTGAGGGACTAATTAACTCCAGGTCCCAGACTGTCCTGAAGGAGTCCATGAGATCAGATGCAACCAATCACAGCTATTCATTTATGCACGAAACATTATTTTCTGCTCAGTCCCTTGGTACCTTATGCATGCAGAGATTTCTTAGAAATGATTATGCCAATCCAGTTTTAGAAAGGGGAACAGAGCAAAACAAGAATTATTCAAGTTTTGTTTTGTCTGATGAATTGGGTTCTTGCTAGTTTTCTTTAACATTCTATGCACATACATATCTTTTAATAGCCTTTAAATATATGTGTATGCACATATCAGTAGACAGATGTTTTAATATTGATCTTAATGATGTAGTAAACGTAATGACTAAGTATGACACTACTTTTTTTTCTTCAATTGCAATTTCCTCGACACAGTGCTAAGGTCTTATTTGCGGTCAAACTTTAGATGCCGTACAACTCATATATCATTTGATCATTTGGTAATTGGAATTTGATTAGTCGGTTAAAAATTATAAAATGCCAACATATTCTGCAGCGCTGTACAATGGGTGGATGAGACATACAAGAATATTAAATTTTAATATTGTTTGAGCAGGGTCCTCATCAACCTATTGTTCATCTCAAAATGTTTTGTGTTCCTAAATTTTCCCCCCTTATATTATTGCATTGCTCTGAGAATAATATGGCGCTATGTAAATGCCAATATTAATGAGACACGCTTCGAATTGTTCGATAATATCCTTATACCAAATCAGTGAGGAAAGAAATGTATCCAGAAGTGACATTCTATTAGGGATCTGAATGAGTGAATTCTTATTGACAAAGATAAGGCAGTTGAGTTAACTGGTCGTGTAATGAAGTGTATAAATAGGCTGAAGTACAAAGCAATGGATTACATTCAACTAAAGCTTTAATGATTGGTGATTGGCGGCATAGCATATTGAAAAATAAAATTAAGGGGGGGGGGGAAGAACTGTCGTATTTATCAAGACAAAGCAGGTGCTAATATGGGTAAAAGTTCTAAACTAGGAACAGTCATTGTGGAAGCTCAGAGAATAATAAGCATTTTGCCCCCATTTGCACCTATCTTGTCTTAAAGGAATACTATAAGTACCAAAACAACTTTAGCTTATATAACTATACAACTATATATAATTTTGCTTAATAAGGCGGTTTTGGTGTATAGATAATACACCTGCTGTCTCGCTGCTCAATTCTCTGTCATTTAGGAGTTACAAATTTCTCTGTGTCACCTATGCTTCCATTTTGGCTACTTTCACCTTAAATCTGAAATTCGCTTTGAATTCCCAGCATTATAGTAAATAACTCTGTTAGAGTTACAGTTTCTATTCATCTCTGCTTTTCATCCTTCCAAGTTCAATAAAATGAGTCTCATTAAGATGGGTAATAATACCGATTTGATACTAAATATACCTTTACTTGTTTTCTACTTTGACATTATTATTGGTAAAGCCAGTTATAACAAAGAGCTTCTGCAAATTTTGCTGTAAAGTAAATCCATATTTTATCAGGGTTATACACATCCTCATGTCAGCATTTTGAATGTTCACAGATTTTCGGAAACTATACCTGTCACAGTAAAAATTACACAGTTTCACTTTAGCTGAAATCGAATAGTGCTAGCCAAATTGCTAAATTATAAGCTGCAGACCAACTGGTGGCTCTCGAGATTTATTTTTGTGTGGTCTGAATGATAGACTTGTCGGTTCCTTAATGTCAAATTCATTAGTTTTATAAGATTCCATATTCCCCGCTAGTTTGTCTAATTGATATGTGGTTGACCCATTAAAAATGTAAGAGTTAAACAATACTGCTCTAAACGTAACATCAAGGCTTAGTAAGCTCGTGGTCGAGACCCTCTGAACCTGGTGGATGTCAGTAATGTGTTTTACAAGCATGTCCTCACCATACTTAATAACTTAATGAAATTATTAATGATAATAGTCACAACAAAAACAAAGTGCGCAATTCAAAATTGTAAATCCCTATATGTTCCAAACGCTTGTGTGGGATCCCCTTAATCCATGCCGAAATGATTCAACAAAAGTAGGATGATTATGGGAGATCTGATCCCTCTTCTAGCTACAAGTCCTCTTCCAGAAGAGGGACCAGGATCTCCCATAATCACCCTACTGTGCTATACACTTGACCCAAGCGATAAAACTGGTTCTAGATTTGTGATTGTGACTACATTTAATTTAGTTAAACTTTGCATATAGCTACCTCTGCACTATTGTTTTCCCTGTAGAAAAACCATTATAACCAGTACCGGAGAAGCATAAAGTTGCATTGCTTCACATATTGTGTGTATTTCTATTAATGATAATAGCATTTTACCAGCACCAACATATTCAGTAGCACTTTACTGTTAAATGGGGATGCATAAAAGCAAAGTATAAACAGAGAAAATAATGTTGAAAGAGCTTACAATCTAGGCGGAAGAGGGGTGATGAAATACATCACAGACAACAATGTTTTAGTAATTCGAATTGAGTCCAGAAGGATTTATGAAGTC